GGCAGCAGAGGCACTCGCCTGGCTGCATAGTTTCCTTTGGCGGCACTTCCATGTTGGCTGGGTGGGCCTGGTGGAGCCTCTCGCCCTCCGTGCAGCAGCTGTCGAGGCGCTTCGATGGCAAGGCTCGTGGGAGCCCTGATGCTGAGGCCCGATGCAACTGCCCCAGCGAGCAGCCGCCGGAGCTGGTGCCGGAGCAGGAGGCAGCATCGGGCGCCCCCGGCATGCAAGCCGCCTGCTGCTCTTCGATGGTCACCTAGGAGCCACCTGCCAGCGGAGAAAGAGAGCCGCCCCCGTAAGGTGGAGGAGGAGGTGGTGGTGGTGACCCGGGTGGCAAGGCTGGCGGTGGCGCTCGACTGGCCGTGTGAGACTGAGACACGCGTGACTGACATCCTTCCTTTCAAATCAAGGGGGTAACGTTGGTGTACTGTATATAAATTTTTTAGGGAGTAAAAGATAAAAAAGTTCCCTGGCCCCTGGTTTAATGTGTAGGCACTTAAAGACCTATTTCCCCCAGTACCTTCATTTTTTTAGTGTGAGAATTAGCTTTCCCCAAGGACGTAAGGAGGCCATTGCTGTTGTCGCTTAAATGCATTCTGAGCTGTCTGCTTCAGTAAAATTGTGGAGATGAGTCGTGCTGGTACCGGCATTTATTTATTGTGCGGATGATTTGCTTCTCTTACATTTCTTCATTGGTGGCATTATATAGGGACACTTCCTTCATTTGTTCCTCCTCCTTGGATGCATTCGACCAAGCCAGGGATTAATGTGCTGTTAGCCAAGCCATTGTCTTTAAGGCCGACTTGATGTTTGCTCACTCGTAATCTGGTCTGGCAGCTGTAGGGATGGTGCTCTTGGCTGCACAACCAGTAACAATGAAGCAATATTCAAACTTCTTGTATTGTTCAGCATTCCCCCCCCCCCAATAAGGAGAAGGACAAGGTAAACAGCACATTAGCATACAGTTAAAAGAAAAAGGAAAATAGATTATTATGTTTCCCAAAATATATTTCAACTTAAATAACAAAGCAAAATGTGTCGTGTAAAATAATACAGTACTTTAACCCATAGGTTTAGTCACTAAACCTATGGGTTAAAGTATTATTTTACATGAACTTCTTAGTGGAGTCATCACTTGTCAAAATCTCTCACTATTTGATATTTGAGGGTGATATTGATAAATCCCTGCTCTCCATAGTTTATTTGCATCCATGGAGCTATATTTAGTTGTATCATTCCACCAATGGAACAAATACAGTTGGTGGATTAAACTCGGTCTTCCTGCCCCCAGAGGTTTGGGAGCAAATTTGCAGAGTATGTGGAGGGCTACTAGGGGCTGAACAGAGAAAGGGAGTAGTGCCCTATCGTACAAGCAGAATTTGACTTGCCTGATATTAAAATTTAACCCAAATTTGATTGGCAACCTTTCAGATCCTGTTAATATTAGCAAATTTTCTCCCACTCTTTCCTCATAGGTTTTTTAATACTATGTCCTGTATTTCGTCTATATCCGTTTTGCTGCCATCAATAAATATAAAATGAATGTATTTATTTAAATTGTTCACAGTATTATTTTGAGAGTTCATATTCTATCCTTATGAAGTGGCACCTTCTATCACCTAGGCACCCACCCAGATGTATTAGATCAGTGGTTCTTAACCTTTGTTACTCGGATGTTTTTGAACTGCAACTCCCAGAAACCCCAGCCAGCACAGTTGGTGGTGAAGGCTTCTGGGAGTTGCACTCCAAAACTCCTGAGTAACCCAAGGTTAAGAACCAGTGTATTAGATGACAAATCCCAGTGCGCTGGCTGTAGATTATGGAGACTGTAGTCTAACATGTCTGTAAGGAGCCAGTTTGGTGGGGGGGGGTTTGGGGGGGGAGCGGTGAAGGAAAATGTATTAAGGGATTCTAAGGTAAAGGTAATTTGTAGGTAGATGGTTTATTATGATGGGCATCACATTGTTACATTTTTGTGACTTTACACATTGCTTCCACAAGAGGAAATGTAATATTTGATATCATTATAGAAGCATCAATTTCCTTTAAATATTTAATCTTAGTTATTGATTGTTCACTGCATTGTCATTTCCCTGTAATCTTTAAAGCTAACAAAAGCAGCTAACTTCCAGTGGCAAATATCTAAATTTCTGGGAGTCTCCAAGAGCCTGCTAAGGTTATTTTGGGCTTTATACAGTCTTTGTTTTGGGTGGAGATTTTCAGTGTCATACAAGCTGGATGGCAGTGCCACGATTTCAGGCGTTCTCCTTTTGCCCTCCAAAAATCTGCCCTGCCTTTCAATACCACCTGCCTGGCGAGGTTCACATTTACTTGCTGTTGTTGTCACGACGTACCTCCTCCCATGCTGTAACTTTGCCACTTTAATCCGATGGAGCTATTTTCTGCTGTTGCTGTTCAGAGAACACCATATTCCAGTGGACTTTAATGTGAGGAGGAACCAAAGGGGAAGGAGAGCAAGAATTTGAGGCTGCTTTAATAGCTTTTCAAAGAGAGCCTGGCCTTGATGCAACCATAGATTTCCCATTAGAGCCCATTACCACCATCATGCTGTTTCCAGCGTGCTGGCAGGGTGCCGACATCTCTCTAGCACTCAGCAAGCAGAGAGGGCCGGAGGTAGGAAGCGGTGGCTTGAATGCTGAGCAGTGCTTCCCTGCGAGGGAGAAGGGAACCCCCTTTCTTTCCAGTTGGAAAGAACACGGGGACGAGAAGCGGCCGCCTTTGGACTTCTAATTGCCTAGATGACAAGCGATTCTGCCAGAGGGGTTCCTGGTGTGCTCAGCCGCCTCAGGGAGTGTGGGAGGCAGCTGCCGAGGCCTCACGCATGACACGGCGCGCCACACAAAGCTGCCTCTCATTATCCCCGGCTTGGTGTTCCTGGGTTAATGAATGCACCCAGACACAACAATGGAGAGACGCCACATTGATTCATGGCAGCGGGCCATTTCTTAGCCTGGGCGGCAGAGCGCTGTTGCTACTTAGGGCTGCCGCTTGCTCATTCTTCCTTTTTCGCTCTCTTTCTGTGACCCCTCACTACCCCCTCTTGGAACAAGGCACTGTGTGGCAGCTAGAACTGTACCAGCCACCTGCCTCCCCTATTTTCAGATTGCCTCCTCCCCCCAAATTAGGGGGCTCTCCCACTCTAGTAGGCCCTAAGAGCCTTCTGCCTTTGCCTCATAATCTTTTCAGCTTCCTTTCCTACTTTCGGCTTAAAATGCATGCACTGCAGAAAACCACTGTCTGTCTTTAGTAATAGAGTGCTGAAGGGAAGCCACCAAGTAAACTTAGCCCCACCGTGTGTTTCTGCTATGTATTGGTCGTCCTTCATTCCCTGCTTAGGAAATGTCACGGCAAGAAACACAAATGTTCTTCGATTCCTTCCCAAGCAGTAGCAATGTTAGTCTGTTACAGTGAGACTAACAACAAGAAGCCTGTGACATCTTGAAGACTAACATGCTAAAATAAACGTGTTTATCTTCAAGATGCTACAGGCCTCTTTGTTATGCTTACTTTCCTGTAACTGGATCCATTTCAGGTGTAAAGAAGCTTGTAGCACTTTCAACATGCATTATATTTACACCAGCCATGTCAGACCTCTGAAAATTCTGAAAATGGATTTTTCCATCATCCTGTCCACTTCTGGAACAAATGAATCCCCTTTTCTCCTGAACTGACTACATCTGATGTAAATCTTGTGATTAATTTATTCACCATTTTGTCTTTTCTTGGTCTCCCATCACCGCCATATGCACTATATAAGCACTGTCCATTTAAACCAACTTCTCTGTTCCCACATGCTAAGTGCTGGAATTAGCTTTCTCCTAATATGCTTCCAGAAGAAAAGAAAAAGGGTGGTGCTGCCATTTTGACTAGTGATAGTATCCATTTCACTGTGCTGCTGCAAGGCCAGTTGTTGGAGAATGAAATATATTTTCCATTATCTGAATGTATTTCTCTCTCCTTTGTTGATTTCGCCCCCACTTTGATAGGGGTAGGAACATTAGTCCTTCCAAAACACAACAGATGGCTACTTAATCTTATTAACAAAACTTTGTTAATTGTCTTCCTTTCATTTTTTAAAGAAAAGTCACCTCCCCCAGGTTAATATTGACTTGATCAAGTAAAAACTTCCTTGGTTTTTCTTAACATAAATCCTGCCCCTGTATGTTGTGTATCCCTCTAAAGCTTCACTTCTATCATTTGGAGCATGATTGGGTCCCATAAAAGAAGTCAGTAGGTCTTCATAAGGCTACTATGGTACTTCACAGAGATATGATGCTTCTCCTGGTGAAGTAATGCCCAGCCTTGGGTCCGCAGAGGGACTACAACTCCCAGAACCCATCACCACTAGTTCTGCTGACCAAGATTTCTGGGAGTTGTAGTCCAAGAGCCTCTGGGGACTCAAGGTTGGGAACCAGTGCCCTGGGGAATAGGGTGCAATGTTAAAGTCATTTGCACTCTGTTCCACTACTAGAAATAACACACTAGTGGTCTGTAAGTGTGTAATCAGGTGTAGGATGGTCCCAATAGGATTTTCACCCATTGTGAAGCCAACTTTGTAATATGTATTTCAAACATACTGTACATGCAGTTAATTGTTTCCCGTGTCATTCCCTCCTGCACATCAAGCAACCCGTCTTCTTTTTTTAACATAGTGCATATGCAGCTGCACTATTTTAAAAGACAGACAGACAGACACACAGACACAGACACAGACACACACACAGACACACACACACACACACACACACTGCTTTATCCAGGAGATTAGAGCAAGCTGTGCTCTGCAAATATCCATATGAGCCCTGGGTCAATAGTAGAACAGCCTCTGCACTCATCCAAGATCACTCTTTTCCTCTATCAAGCTGTAGCACCAAGCTCTCGGTTTTCCTGGATGTGTCTGCTTGTTTGGAAGCTATGGTTTGTGTTTGGTAATTTGGCAGGAGTAAGACCAGGCTGTCTGATATTTCTTTCTCTCTGCACAGGAGGAGCTCACGAGCACCAGTGTGGAGCATATCATAGTCAACCCTAATGCAGCCTATGATAAATTTAAAGACAAGAGAGTGGGCACCAGAGGGCTGGGTAAGTCTTTCTGTTATGGAGATGATTATTTAGAATAGTGCAAAGGAGGGGAAATGAAGATCCAAGTTCTTCCCTGAACCTAGCTACAGATCAAGTGTGCTCTGCAAATATCCATATGAGCCCTGGGTCAATAGTAGAACAGCCTCTGCACTCATCCAAGATCACTCTTTTCCTCTATCAAGCTGTAGCACCAAGCTCTCGGTTTTCCTGGATGTGTCTGCTTGTTTGGAAGCTATGGTTTGTGTTTCGGAAGAAGGCAGGAGTAAGACCAAGCTATCTGATATTTCTTTCTCTCTGCACAGGAGGAGCTCACGAGCACCAGTGTGGAGCATATCATAGTCAACCCTAATGCAGCCTATGATAAATTTAAAGACAAGAGAGTGGGCACCAGAGGGCTGGGTAAGTCTTTCTGTTATGGAGATGATTATTTAGAATAGTGCAAAGGAGGGGAAACGAAGATCCAGGTTCTTCCCTGAACCTAGCTACAGATCAAGAAAAAGAAGAAGCTGTGTGGTAAAATGCAATAATCCTGAAATAGGAGCCAAGAAACAGACTGTATTTTTCCATGTATATGACGATACTTTTGTCTAAAACCTTTAGACTAAAAAGTGAGGGTCGTCTTATACACAGAAGTGAGCTGAGGGGAGAACAAAACGGCACATACCCTGCCTCTGCAAACAGGCTGCCTCCAATAACTGAGGCTTAGCTTCCTACAGTCAGGAGACTTATGGAACTGATGTTGGCTGATGCTGTACAAACCAATTGGAACACACCTCATTGGAGGTGGAACCTGTAGGCTCAGATTCAACAGGGAGTCATAATGTCTGAGCGATCTGAGCCCAGAGGCTGAATACTCAAAGCTAAGTTTTCTTAGTTTTGGGGTTAGAAAGGGGTGTGTGTGTCTTATAAACAGTGGCATCTTATGGGTGGAAAAATACGGTAATTGAAATGTACCTTGATATGCAGGGGTAGTTCTGCAAGGGGGATTGTCTCAGGCAGAAGATGTTGTGGAGCAGCTGATGCAGACTTCCAGCTGCCCCTCTGCCTGGCTCTTCTGGAGAGGGCAGTGTATCCCACATGAATTGTCCTGGTCTCCTTACACCAGTCTGATGGAGAACATTGTCCTGTTACCAGTGTTCTAATGAAATTCAATAGAGAGTCCACCTGGCTTCAGTATGTGCCATCTTGACCTTTACCCCAGGTGGCAAACTATCTTGGGCTTGCCCTGGTAATACATTATAATAGATTACACTGGTTCTTTTGTGTTATATTTACTAGCAAATGTACACAGCTTTGCCTAGCATAAAAAAACTATGACTCTTCCCAGTAAATTCTTTTATTTCATGCTTGCCCCCCTCTCTCTCCCTGTATATCCTGATACTCATTTGGTCTGGACCTGCCTGGACCAACTAAGCAAAAAATGAAAGGCATCATGAGGAGATTGATTTAAATAAAGTTAGGCAATAGTATCTGTGTAAAAAAATTGTGTTTCTAGGATTTTTCAGGACAAACAAGCAAATAATAATAATAATTCAGAAATATATATAAACTACTAGTTGGAATCCTTCTGGGGATTTACACTAGCCTAAGTATAATTGCCTAAATCATGGTGGCAAATTGCTGGTAATGAGTTGCTGATTGCATTCCTTGTCATATATCAAATTAGACAGCTGGCATATGGGGAGGAATGTATGTGGTGGTTCATTAATTAGCAGCTGTTTACCACTACAGTGAATGCAGTTACACTTACACCAGTGTAAATCCAAACTAGAATTCCAGCCACTGTGCTACGGTGGTTATGTGCATGTCAGGTACAGGATGTTTGGGTACGTTATTGTTACTTTTAGTCCTGGTTTTGTCAGTCATCTGTATTGTTACCTGCAGATATGAATGAAAGTACACAAGGTGATATCAGTAGTTGCATGTCAGAACTACTCTGAAGTTCATGTCAGTTAAGGTGGTGCCACTTGTGATTGTTGGACATGTTGAAGCAAGAATTATAGTTTCTCTCATAAAGTGAATACCAGTGTTTTCAAGTTATAGGCTCCACTATCATGGGTTTGGGACAAATGGGTAATTGTGCAGCCAGGACTTTCAGTCGTCATGTGAGTTACATGAGGAATACATAGAAAAATCTGTTCTGCTAATATGAGCTCATGAACAAATACGTAACTGAAATAGTAAATCCTGGAGTTTTGCCCTGTGGAAGATAGATGAAACTACAGCCTGCTTAGTTTTTAAAGACCAAAATGTAATTTCCCTGTTTTATTTTCTAGACTTCTCTGATCGGATTGGCAAAGCCAAAAGAACTGGCTACGAGTCTGGAGACTATGAAATTGTAAGTGTCAGTCTTGCTTGGGAGATTCCCAGTGTGTTGAAGTGGACAGAGTGATGGACTAGGACTATGGAGAACAGGGTTCAAATCCCCACTTGGCCATGGAAACTGACTGGGCAAGTGGAATTGGTAAAACCACTCCTTAAATATCTCACTTACCTGTTAGGGTTACCATAAATCAGTTCCAACTTGACAGCCCAGAAAACACAAACACATCTTGCTTGTAGTGACCAGTTTAAAAGGGAAGCCCTGCATTTAAGCTCAGGCCAAATGAGAAGACAATCCACCTATTTTAAGCCTTCCCAGGATTTGCTTGGGTGACAGAAGATGGCCATCTTGTGCCACAAGCTCTACAGCTGACTCAGGAAACAAGAACTTGAGGCATTCTTCCCTAAAACTGTAGTTCCTTGCCTCAACAGGCTGAAGGCAAGATGATCCAGAGGCATTGTAGTGGAATATTCCATGTGAGCGTAGCACACGGTCGAGCAGTACTCCCTTCCATAAGCATAACTGGGACACTTATCAAAAAGTTGGCTACTGGTACCTTAGGTGACGCTTGTGTTGCAAAATAGCATTTAGTGTACACAAAACTATCTGAGCAACTGACCAATCTAGATTACAGTAAGCCTCAACCAGAGTGACGCTTGTGTTGCAAAATAGCATTCAGTGTACACAAAACTATCTGAGCAACTGACTAGTCTACATAGGGATGAAGCTGGCTTGGGAAAGGCTCTGTAACCTTTTTTTAAAAAAAAGGTTTTACATACCCAATCTGATACATTTATAATGTTACAATAATAATAGAAATTGTAAAAATGAATGCAGCCTTTAGACTGGGGGTTAGGAAATCTGTACTTCCCTAGATGTTGTGGAAACACAATTTGCTTCATCTCTTGCCACCATGCTGACAATGAGAGGGACTGTGAGAGCTTTAGTCTGGCAACATCTGGAAGGCCACATGTTCTCTGCCTCTGCACTAAAGTCTCTCCATATGCCAGAAGCACATCTTTTAAAGAGAGGAGCCCAAGTGGCCCAGTATAAGAAAAGATTGTGATTTTGTATTGGCGGGGGGGGGGGGACCTCTTGAAATCTCCATAAAGCCAGTTTTGCTTTTGGAGCCAGTTGAAATGGAATGGTAGCAGCTTCTCTGGGATCTCCCCAAAATCCTAATGTTGCTTCTGAATGATGAATTTGTGTTTCATTTTTAAGTTAGGGGAAGGATTTGGTATGAAAGAGACTCCCCAGCAGAAATACCAGCGTTTGCTGCATGAAGTTCAGGAGCTGACTGCTGAAGTGGAGAAGATCAAGGTAAGGGATTCCCTGCGTCACTTCAGGCTATTCCATTTTTGAGACCAGGTCTAGTCTTTGTCCCATTGCGAGGGACTAGATGCTTATTTACCATACCATGGCTCTATGTTTACTATCCCTGTAATGAAGAGCCGTGCAGGAGGAGGGAGGCTTCTGCCCCATACAGCTCCTGTTTCATCGATTTGACTGATTCGGTTCCTTCTTCCACAGAGCACCGTAAAGGAGTCCACGGCCGAGGAGAAACTGACACCGGTTGCCCTTGCAAAGCAAGTGGCTGGCCTGAAACAGCAGCTGGTCTCCACTCACCTGGAGAAACTGCTCGGGCCAGATGCGGCCATCAACCTAACTGATCCCGATGGTGCTTTGGCCAAGTAGGTCATTGTGGGGTTGGCACTTAAGCTAAACAGGGTTTCACCCCTAAAGCAACTCTTTCTAAGACATCTGAATGTGACCCTCACCTCTGATCGCTGAGGCCAGGCCCTTTGCATTTCCAATTAGGGTAGAGATCTTCTGAAGCTAAAACTGAGAAGACAACCTTTCACCCAAGCCTAAGACTAGGTACATCTCTTTCCCTGGGGTTGGACTCTTGGACAAGATTTCTTTCTTGTCATCCTTTTACGAGGGATCAAGAGGTCCTTATGTTCAACCCCACTGCTGCAGAGGTTGGGTTACACATGGATAAAATGACATAACACAGACGATTGCATGCTGCAGAGCGTGATTCTGCATTTTAAGGGTAAAAAGGTGATTTGGGAAAGCCATCAGTCTTCTGCCCTGAATCAGTAGAGATTAGATTTAGCATGTTCAGTTAACCTACACCTCGTAAACAAAACGGGAAAAGTATGTAAATTTTTAATTTTGCATAAATACCTGAGTTTTTCTCATAGACAAAAGTAATTGGGCTGACATATTTAAGCAGAGTATAATTCAGGAAATGTACTTTGCATGATTCAAATGTTCTCTTCAAACAAATTTTTAAAATTACTTACAGTTATACAGTTCCTCTATATTATTTTAAATATCTGTATATATTGTATGCAGTATTTGCTGTGTAAAATATATTATGTTCCTTTGTGTTATTTAGAGTAAAAACAAAAAATCCTGGAAAATATTAATATACTAATTTTAGCATATCTAAAGTGTGGTGTGCATGACTGCATGTATTTCCAAGCAATAGTCATCTGGAAAAAAATATCCAGGGAGCTAGCTGTGTTGGGTCTGTTCCAGCAAAAATAATAAAGAATACTGTAGGAACTTAAATACTGACAGAGATACCTTTCTTGACATATGTCTTTGTGTCCACTGCATCGGATTTGTCTTTTCACCTGATTGAAAACTCTGTCTAAAACCAGGCACCATCATCCCGATGCAGTGTGCCCCAACCTGGGGGTCATGACTCCCATGGGGTTGCAGTGTTTTTGGGGGTGGGGTGGGGGACACAGGTCGCCTTATACATGTTGTGGCCCTTGTTAACTAATGTCTTCCTTGACCTTTCGGAATGGGATATTAAAGTTAGTGTATGTGCATATGTATGTATGTATATGTATGAGAAACAGGTCCTTTGGGTGAGAAAGAAGCCTCTGCTTTCTGAGAAGGGATGGCTTTACCCTATTAAAAATGCCTTTTTATGCAAACATGACAGGGTGTGCGTGTCACTGGTTACTTGCCTATTACTAAAGGGGATTATGACTCAATATAGATTGGAGACCAGTGCCCTAGAGGATATCAGCTGGTACAGACTCCTTCCCCCCCTCCTTTTCTCTCTGCTGCCTCAAAATCTGTGGCTGGCCTTTTGGAACAGTGGTTTAGGCTTGGGGCAGAAGAAAGAAAGAGAATTTCCCCTCTCCCCATAATACTGACGGAAGCCATTTTGCCCGTGGAATCACCTTGTTGGATCTGGCCGTTCCAGCTTTGATTAGCATACTCATTTATTTGGAAGAAGTTTTAACCCATCTGTCAGGGTGTGCTGCCTCAGAAGGGGGGTTACAACACTGTAAAGCACAAGAAGGCAGTTACATATTAAACACACTAGTAACTGAATATTTTCTGAAATGCGGAAGGCTGGCCAGATGCATAACTACAAGTGGAAAACATTTTGCTATGCATCATTGGCTACAAGCATAAATTCACAAAGTATTACCTTTCTTCCCAGTGCTGAAAGGAGATGTTATCAGGCCATCCATAAGTAGTCTCAATAGATAAACCAACGTATGCGTGTGCCACTCCTGATTTCAATATGGCTTGCAGCATTGAAATCCCAGAGGCAGCTGTTATAACCTATATGATCAGTGAGGTCTGAACCCATGTTCTCTGTAAGAATTTGCGGCCTCTTCCACCTCCCAGGCGTCTGCTGATCCAGCTGGAAGCCGCCAAGAGTGCTAAAGGCAGTCCTGCTGGTGGGAAGAGCCCTGCCAAAGCCCCAGCCGGTCAAGGAAACACAGTGACGTATGAACTGCACTCTCGGCCCGAGCAGGACAAATTCTCTCAGGCTGCCAAGGTAGGAACAGGAAGGTTCCTTGGGAATATCTCCTGGTAGTAATAGATAGCAGTTGTTGAGTAGCTGGGGTAGTTTAGAAGGCCAAATGTAGCCGTCTTTTCTCCAGGATGAGTTCTGGAGAAATATGGGGTGTTTCAGTTTGAATGATGAAAAGGGTAAAACTTTGTGACATCATAACATCTCTGGATGTTAGAGATGTTGCCTTGGAGAATGATGCCACTCCCTTGGTCCACACAGAGTATCCATCTACAGGGCCAATAACCCTGGAAAGGATGATTTTTCTGAATGTTTCCCTTATTGGCTGGTCCTTCCTTGCTACAATGAAAAGTGCAGTAGAAACTAGCCTTGTTTTTGAGCCCTTGTTTTCTCCACACTTTCTCAGTAGCCACCTGGCATCTTCTTACTGCATCACGTACCAGTCTTGATTACTTTTGTGCTAGTAGAAGTAATGGATAAGATACTGTACGGGTTGGTGAGAGAAGACCGAAGAGGGACAGAGGCGCATGTGTTGTGTATAATAATTTTTTTTTCCATTTTGGTTGAGGCCTGTGGAAGAAGTACCAAGTTTATAAGGAGGAATGTGTACTATCTGGAAGAAAAGTGTGGAAATGGAGTAGTAATAGGAATGGAAGTTAGGAGGAAAAAAATATATATATCCCGTCTCTCTCTCGGGGAGGCACCACTACAGTGGACTTGTAATACTTGATGCTGCTATAGTTATAGATCCCAAGGAGTGATCTCTTACTACAGTCTTTTGTGAGTGCTGAGAAGAACAGGCAACTACCCACCTGCGTTGATGTACTCTGTGCCCCTCAATATCTGCCATGGAAAACTTTAGCTGCCTCCAAGTGCTCTTGATGTTGCCCATTACTGGGTGACATTGACTTGATCTATTTATAAATTGACCTGTGATGCTTCTACAAAGAAAGTGTCTTACTTGGGGTGATTTTGTGAACTACCCAGTTACTGGGAACACTCTTCAGAGTCACTCAGGATAAACATAAACACGTATACGCTGCACCCCTGAAGCAGGTGCCTCTAGATAGGAAAACGTCTGGTGAAAGTGAAAGGTTTTTCTCTGAAATTCAAGGGGATTTTGAGGGAGGCGGGAGGCAATGAAACGTCCTCATGTGTTTGCTCTGCTCTGTTTAGATTGCAGAATTGGAGAAGCGACTGGCTGAACTGGAAGCTACTGTTCGCTGCGAGCAGGATGTCCAGGTGAGAGGGTGGGGCAGTAGAGACGCCAGGTGTATGGCGAAGATGGCAGTGGGAGAAGGACAGCAGTAGTTTTAAGAACAGACTAAAATTATTGTCAGCCCTGAAGTGGGAGGAGGGGTTTTTCCCTTCACAGTGAAATATATTGAGAAGGGAAGACTCATGTATGAGCAGCATCATGGTGAAGCATTAAGATAAGCGCTACATTCTATGTTCTCCCTTCTTAAGAGAAGAGCTGTGTTCTGCCTTTCTTGTGCTTCCTATTAAAATGAATACATGGATCCCCTGTGTTCTTTCTGATGCTGCCAGAAGCATTGTGTCTAAGCTTGGCCATGTGAACTTGTTCAGAAGGAATCATGCCTGGAGCTGGTCACAGGGATAAGGACCTGTTAGTGCTAGGTTTCCAATCCCAGTGTGTTCAGTAGTACATTGCCAACCTGTGCCATGCTTTCTGGCAGAGCAGAAAGGTATATGAGCACACCTTCCTGTTCTCCTACCTTCACTGTTCTGGGCACCTCAAAAGACACGAAAGAACCCTGAATTCTGATGCCACGTATATACTGTAGTGCATGATAGAAGAGCATTATCTTGCATTGTAGACCAGTGTTTTAACATATTTTCAAAGGGTATGGAACACTGTGCTAAATTATTGTTGCTGCTGCTCATTATCCCTTCTTTCTTTGCCTAGAATCCTCTGTCTGTTGGTCTGCAGGGAGCTAGTCTTATGGTAAGGCATTGACTTGCATGTGTCCTGTGCCTCTTGAGATTAGGGAGGAATTGGAAGTAGATGTTAGAGTTTAAGGACTGCTTCTAATGGTTTCACTATTTGTGGGATAATGGGAGTTACACACGGGAGTCCCCAGGAGCTGCATGCAGGCCAAAGGCTAAGGCTACATGTTGCTCACCCTTGGTGTAAACCAAGGCTATATAGACTTAGAATGAGGTTTGCATCCCACAGAGCTAATCTTTAGGAAAAGAAGAAAGCCACATAAATTGTTGGCTGACCCTTGACACTGGTTGATTTTATTTACAAATGATTCATGTTCATTTCCATTGCAATGCACAAAGATGCATACAACTGTGCAAATATGATAGCAAATATCACAGTTGTTTAAAACTTTTAAAGAACCTAATTTTTCAAGGGCTTGTACGGAAATTAAAAGCTGACAGTCTCAAATACACGATATAGTAGGAAATTGAAAGACTGGGTTACATGTGGTGGGCAGGAAGACAGTAGAAAAGTACCATAGCTTTGGAAGTTGAGATATTGTGTGGGCCAGGGAGCAAAAGGAAAGAGATGGCAAAATGAGGACAGGAACCAGATTCCACATACTGATTTGAACTAGATGGCCACATTTTAATTTTTTATTTATTTTATTTAATTTATACCCCGCCTATCTGGTCGGTGGCTGATTTGAACTAGATGGCCACATTTTTGCTGATAGGCCATGGGCGTATATTCTAATAGTCATTTTGTCCGTAGGAAACGGTGGAGATCCTGCAGGCCAAAGTCAGCTCCTTAGATGTGGCATCCCTGGACCAGGTGGAGGCAAGACTACAGGTAGATCTTGACTCCCAGAGCTCATCAGCTACAGCATCTGGGCTGTGAGTCAAAGGGCAGGGGGTTCGGGAAGATACAGCAGGACCCAGCCGTCTTAACAGCAAATTCTTCATCTCTAGAGCGTCTTGGGAAAAGTGAATGAGATTGCCAAGCACAAGGCCACAGTGGAGGATGCTGACACCCAAAGCAAGGTCAGATTCCTTCTCTTTCTGCAAGTGGGTAGTTGATAAGCCCACCGTTATTAACTAAATAAAAAACAAAGGAAGAAAAGCCTGAAAGAGGCTCTCATGGTTGCACGGGTATTGTTTTTTGTCACTCTTCACTGAGTGGCTGAAAACTGAATTTAGCTAATTGAAAGTTGAATTGAGGCAACATGAAGTAATGAACTTTCTGTCTGTGCCGACCTGTTTTTGACTGACTTGAGGTGCTGCTAGCCAAGCATACAGTAGTGGTCTTTTATTAGTCTGTGTGAAGGTGTGTGCACATGAACCGAGGTGACCAGGAGGGGTGCAGAGAGGTTTGGCCTCAGGGCCCATAGTCCCTCCTGCCTCGGTTCCGAAGCCCTCTCCTTTCACCCTGCAGGTGCATCAGCTCTATGAGACTGTGCAGCGCTGGAGCCCCTTGGCCAGCACCCTCCCAGAAGTGGTGCAGCGCCTGGTCACTGTGCGGCAGTTGCACGAACAAGGTGAGCCCCTGGGACCTGCCCAGCTCGGAACAAACCGGACAGGGACAGGCTGGCACTTGGGAGGCTCAGACAAGTGACCCGAGCTTTGGGGTTTGTAATTGCCACAACAGATAATCCACGAGTCCCGAGCGATGCTTGGCTCCACTTCTGCCTCCAACCTCTGACTTCTGTTTTCGTCCCTTGCAGCCATGCAGTTTGGGCAGCTCCTGACCCATCTGGACACTACCCAACAGATGATTGCAAATTCCTTGAAGGACAATGTTGCCGTGCTGACACAGGTGGGACTCTGACCGCTGGGAACTATCTGGGAAGTGATCCAGAGCTCAGGAAAAATTACTTTAGGCTGACCGCTGGGAACTATCTCTGATCCAGAGCTCAGGAAAAATTACTTTAGGGGACTACAACGTCTCAGAAACTACCCTCATCACTCCGTTCCCCCAGCCAGCATAGCCACTGGCGATGGCAGTGTTACCAAGCTCTGCCTTACAGCTGATGTTACTGTGGCCAGTAGGACCTTCATAAAAACACAGCTGATAATGTCCCTCAGTACCTGGGAAGGGCCTGTAGCTGCTGTGCCCTCTAACGTAGCACATGGCGGTTCTTGCTGCTATTATGAGCTCTAGAAACTAGTGTGGAAACTCCCAGTCTGCTACCTCTGTTCAGGATGATGTCATTTTATCCCAGAAGGAAGGAGAGGCTGCTTTCATCATCCTTGAAACAGGGAAGCAGAGCTACTCCATCTGTCTTTTGCGGGTGGAGTCACACAACCATCTCTTGTCACTTGCTTTGAACTGCAAGTTCCATAGTCTAACAGTGACGGTTGCCCCCCATTCCACCCCCACAAGCAAGGTTCTGATTTCTGCATACTCAGATCTCCTCACTTGTTTGTCAGTATGTTAAAAGAAAATTAGCTGGTATCAGATTGTTAAACTAATTTTTTTTAAAGAATGAAACACTCCTATCAGGAGATTCCACTCTCTTGTTTAGTCAGTTTCTATGACGTTCTCATGTTTAGGCAAGAACCAGTTTTTTGTGATGATAAAATCAAATAAAAAAATAAAAAGAGAGGCAAAAGAATATGTTGTAGTAAGGTAGTTGGCTTTTAAAAATTTAATTTAATTTAAAATACTTTTAACCTACCTTTCTCCTTTAAAAGGACCCAGTGCAGCTTACAATAGTTAAAAGAAAGTATTTAAGCTAATAGTGAGTATACAATACTAAAAGGATCAAATAAATACAATACCAAAAAACATAAGCAACTCCAAAACACATTCAAAGCAGTAAAGCACAACAATCTGTTTGAAAACCTTAATCAGGCAGCCAAGCCAGTCACTCGGGGAAAGCTTGCATGAAGAGAAAGGTCTTTGCCTGCTTGCGGAAGGACAGCAGAGACAGGACCAGCCTGGCCTCCAGTGGGAGAGAGTTCCAGAGTCTGGGAGCAGCGACAGAGAAGGTCCTCTTCTGTATTTCCCTACCTGTGAAGGTGGTGGGACCGAGAGGAAGGCCTCACCTGATGATCTTAGCACTCAGACAAGCTCATATGTGTATTTATGACTTATATGACTTCCAAAAAATGAATATTCTCTTGCACAGTTATGCAAACAACAGAACTTTTAGATACAAATATCTATAAGTTAAGAAGTCTCCATAGATGTCATCAATTGCATAGTGAGTCACACCACTCAGGATACAACTGGTAATGCCTATAAAGATTTCTTAACTCACAGCAATTCCTATCTAAGTTACTTTCTGAAATTATGACTCTCAGAATCCCCCAGGAAGTTTTACAAGCTGTGGCTTAGTAGTGAGTCAGCAACAAGCTGGTGTAAGTGGTTCCTTGTTTTGAGTGTGAATAGGGAGGGGAAATGGTACGAGCACTTTCACAGAGCCGCTCAGGTGAGCTTAACTTGTTCCGCCATGTGCCTGACCCCCGATTGTCCCTCTTTCCCTTAGGTTCAGAAAACCATGAAAGAGAATCTTGCTGTTGTCGAGGACAATTTTGCCAGCATCGATGCACGGATGAAGAAGCTTGCCAAGTGAATCTCCTCATCCCAGTCCACTCAGGCAAGGCCGAAGAGTTTGCCTGGTGTCTGAACATGCACTAACCGCTCTGCCCCTTCCCCACCTCTTTACCTTTCCTTGTTTGCTCTCGGCAGTTCAGCTTTCATGTAGGGCTGGGGGGCGGGGGCAGGGGGGCCGGCCCTCTGTCAGAAGGCAGACCTCGCCTTCCAGCGTTCTGCTGTCCGGGTAACAATGCTGGCTGCAGAGAGCAGGGCTCTTTTTTGAATTGGGGAGATGGGGGAGCTGTGCTTGAGAGACAACCATCCTTCGCGTACCTCCCCGTGCAGGGTTCCCTGGCCCAGAACGAGGGGAGCCTTTTACCTGGAAAGGTCCCTTACACCCCTCGGTCTGGCATGGAGGTGAATTGTGTCGTTGTATAATGATTTACTGTCATTAAACATTTACGCTTACTGCTTTGTCCCGAGTCTGTTGACGAGGAGCTGGTTGTGTGCTTGCCTTGGCTCGACTCTCAGTAGAGTCCCTTCTCCCGTCCTTTCAGGGAGGTATCAGTGGCTGCTCATCATAATTTCCAAATCCAGTGGCAGTTTGGTTCTGAGTAGCATCTACTAAGGGGCACAGGCAGAAGGATACTGTTGCCCTTGCATTCTGCTTGTAGGTTTCCTATTGATGATTGGCCACTGAGGAACACAGGATGCTCTGTTCCAGCAGAGCTTATTTGATGCTCTTGTACCCTTGGAGAACCTGCACAGGTTTTTCATCTCCCCACCATTGAGAGAAAAAGCATATGGCCTGCATTTAACTTCATCTCGGATCTGCAAAGCCTCTGCACCAATCTGCAGCCTTGCATGTAGTACCTCTGGGGTGGAGAGATTTTTTTATTGCTCCTTACCCAGGACCACCCCCTTCCCTCATTTTGCTGCAGTTTTATTTTGTATGGGTACGTTGACATTATTGTTTCCATTGCCAGAGGAAACATGCAAAGAAATGAGGGGTGTAAGTGTATCCTGCTAAAACAATGTACAGTTCTAACTGGGCTGAAGCTGTACATATGTTTTTGATTTGCTTATTTTTGCATATCTATCCACTATGAATCAGGGGCTTCTAATGTATCATAGGGTATGCAGTGGATAAACCAACAAATATACAGAAACAGCAATCCCAAACTCTGCTGAGCAAATCATAAATTAGCTTTCAAACAGCACAAACATATTTGAACTTTGTTACTTTTGCCAGGAATTTTTTTCCCTACCTTTAGAAAGTACAACTGCATCTTGGTGTGAAATCTCTGTTATATGGCTAAGCTGCAGTGGATATCAAGGAAACCGTTTGCAAAAATCTGTGTATCCTCATATTTTAATTTCCTTGTTCAATTTCAAACATTCATGTAGTCAGAGCATTCTCGGGATTTTGGTGACCAGTGATGAGAAACAGGCAGAAGAAGAATGAAAATCGAGCAGGCTCCAGGACACTAACAGAACCCAGGATTTTCTTGATTTATTTTTGAGTGCAAAACTCAGTGTTAAATAGCTGTAGTTCAGCTTAAGAGTTGTGTCTGGCAACTTACCTTCCATTGAGATGGGACTGGAAGTTAGCAGTCAATTTGTTGCATGAATAAAGCCCCAAATTCAGTCCCTGGTATTTTTGAATAGGGTTGTGAAAAACCTCTGACTGTGCAGCACCTAAACTTGATGATATAAGGGCTATCACACAAGACACTGTGATACGACTGCCAGGAGGCAGTGATTAAAGCTGTTCCTCTTGGTTAGAAGATAGCTATGTGTACATTGCTGGTGTCATGTTTTCATATAACCAACCTGGGCAAAGGCATTAGCAAATATAGTATGGTAAGAGAAACGGTTGACTAGGACATGGACAGTGGAAGGGGAAAGAGGCAAAAATTGGTGAGGGCGGTTGGAGCTAATCAGTGAATATGATGATGGACAGATGATGTGTTGAGGAACTGCATTATGTAGGTATTTTGACCTTCATGCTTTCCTCTTCATGCTGGCTCTGCACTTGTTTGTGGCTGCCATCACTACCATTCTCCTGTCTTTTACAAGGTAAAGAATGACTAACGCATGGATGGTGAGTTCTTGTTCAAATCTCTTTGGCCGTGATCTTATTCTTTGTCCTGAAGCACATGTCACCAGGGCAAGCCTATTGGGAGGCAGAGGAGAAAAATTCCTTCAGGGAGCAGGTGTCGTGGGACCGCAGTGGTGACCTCCTAGGCGGGACTAATCGCCTCCTTGATAGCCTTGCACAGTAGGTTTGCAGCCACAGTAAAGTCGCTTCTGATGATTGTTTACTGCCTCCTGGTCTTGAACAGTGCCCACTTCCAGGGAGTGCTGCAAGCAAAGTTGCTTAAAAATAAAACCCGGTCCACATTAGACTTTGTTTTAAATACATATTTTAATACTTGATACAAAACACACACACACACACACCCAAAAATAAACAAATAAAGAAACAGTAACTTCAGTCTAAGCTTCAAAATATTTTCATCTGTTAAATTAAAGTCGCTCCCATAGAAAAGCTACAATTCACAATTGTGTAAAAAAAATTTTTTTTTACAAAACAAAATTTAAGCTCAAAGAAGGAAAATAGTCTTTTTCCCCATTCCTTTTTTTCTCTTCTTTATACAAAAGAAAGGCCGAAGTTGGTTGGTGGGTTGAAGTGCAGAGGGGAGGGAGGGAGGAAAACAGCGCAAACTGTACAGTATCTACACAGTGCTTTTGCATAATGCATCAAGAGCTGCAACCAGACCAGGTGGCAGGGAAGGAGGTGGGATGTGGTGCATTTTGGTCGTTCGGAGATGAAGGTTGTAGTGTGTAGGTGTGTGTTGCAGGGTGGGTGCAGAGGAAAGGGCCTGGCTCTGGCCAAGCTGGATGAATTCTCTTTCAAGCGCCAGCTCCTCTTCTCCCTCAGCCTTCCCCTCAGCGCTAGGACCTGAGTGTTCTCTTGGGGATTTTTCAGAAATGGGAGGAAATCAAGGGGGGGAGCAGGGTAGAAAAGAAATACAGTACAGCCGAGGGTTTGCTTTTTTGTTTGTTTGTAGCTGGACAGGGTGGTGGGTGGTGTGGTCCGCTTGAGGCACGAGCCATCCCTGGGCCTCAACCAGGGTTGAGGAGGAGAGCAGACCCAGTTACTACTCAGGTTTAACCATGGTTGCCTCACCGCCCCACTGTTTCAGGGGTATAGACAGTGAGACGCCACAGCTGTGTGGGAAGGGAGTGTGTGAATGGCTGAGCAATTGGGGGGGGGGGAGAGTCAGTCCTCCCTGAAACACAAATGTGGCTTATTTTCCTTATTGCTTTGTACCTTTAGCACTGGGACCCTGGAGCTCATGTTCTGTTTCCTGTTTTTGGCGAGGCAAAAGAGAGATTGAGAGAGAGAGTCTGATTCTTGTACTAAAACCCTGAGCCGGTTCTCACCCGGGTGCCACAGCGCACGCAGGTCTGAGGTAAGGTGGGATGAAGTGATAGGGCAGCGATGTCCCCTTCCTGGAGCACACAGCCCTTGCTACTCCTGCCGAGTGATGAGGTCCAACCAAGGCAGAAGATCTCACTGGGGGCAGGGAAGACATGAAAAGCAGGGGGGGCAGGAAAGGCCCTAACTGCACTGCTGGAAGGAGTTCCCCTTTGGAGCATGGCAGAAGTGGCTGGCTCCCAGAGGTGCTCACGGATGGGTCCAGTTCAAGCACCCTGGTTTTGCCCCTCTTGGCCTCTTCTACCCCCCATGCCCCATTTCTCTCCCTCCTCCCACCACAACATGCTGAGACCACAGCTGCACCTTGTGCTTTTGGAGGTCCCTCTAGGGAGAGATTCGGGACCCAGGCAACTGGTGAAGCTACAACACATTCAAGGCCAAGGCGCCAGGAGCCCAGCAGCAGCAGCAACAACAACAACAGGTCCTCTTGCTGGTGTTTTCCTCCCGCTCCCCTCACCATCCCATGCCCAACAGCTGGGCACCAGAGATGACAGGTGGTGGAGGAAAGGGAGAACCAGAAGCCTGGGATGTCCTAAGCTCTGTTTGCTTAGAGGCGGACAGTGGTGGAGCCCCCCTCAGTTCGGGCGGTGCTATGTGGGCAGTTTCCTCCTCCTGTTCTTCACGGGTCGGCCAGGGCGCGGCCGGCGAGCAACAGTGTAGTCAACCTGACAGGGGAAGTGAGGGGTGGGAAGAGAGAAAGAGAGGGAGGGAGAAATTGAGAGTGAAAAATTTCATTTACTAAGGCATTCTTTCCCCACCCCCTTGTCTTAAGGGAGGCTGGGGAACCCATGGTCCTCTAGGTGTTGGTTAACTTCAATTCCCATCCACACCAGCTTAGCCAAGAGCTGGAGACGACGGGAGTGAGGGTCCGACCCCTATCAGGAGGGCCACAGCTTCCCTACCTCTGTCTTGGCCAGAGACAATGATGGATTGGCTTGATCTGTTCTAGCTAGTGTATGAGCTTGTGCTGGCCAGTGCTGTACTCGGGCTTCATGTTGACTATCGGTTCAAGCCAGCTGTATCGCTGGCCAACAAAACCTTTCCTGAAACCTGACCTAGAGGGAGCACAGGGACAGGACCTGCATCCTCTCTGAGGCAGGGGGTACTTCTACATGTTCTGCCACAGGCATCCAGAAGCCTAGGAGGTAAGTGAGAAACTATGACCCAGGGCTGTGCCAACTGCATTGTCTGTTATTAAGATTCTGGGCTCTGTGAGAATTTTCAGTATCTTGCCAAGCCTTAAGAATTGCTCTTGTTTTCCTTCTGTTCTGGCTATTCATGCTGAAACAAGCGAACACAGCTACCTCTTTGTCAAGCACAGAGCAGAGGTTCTCAGCCCTTTTGTATCTTGTATCTCACCTATCATTCTGTCAACGAATCTGAGTCACTCCCCATGACAGAAACAAAGGACCACTTTTTTTTTTCTTGAGAAGGACATTCCTATGTTTAAGGGTGTATTTTGTCATTATTACTCACGCTGTCACTGAAGGGACAGGCAGAAGACCAATGGATGATTCCTGATAAGCAGCAGCACATCAGTGCAGTCACTGGTGCAATTAGGAGAAACACCCGAGTAATCCAAAGCAACCACTAGCCTGCCAGCCTGTCACAAAGGGATAAACTGTGGCAAGAAATGGTTGGTAGCAGGCAGTACCTCATGCTTGCAAGGAGACAATGGGGATTGAGGGAGAGCAAAGCCTTAATTGGCATTTCATTCTTTTCCTTTGCACTCCATCAGTCCCTCTTCATGCAATAAGATCACGAAGAAAATGTCATGCAAATTAGCTGTGTTAGTCTGTGGCAGCAAAACCAAGACGGCGTCTCTTGACACCTTAAAAGATGGCCCGGTTTATTTTGCATCAGCTTTCGTGGATTGTAGAACGCTTTCACCGATAAACGTCCGTGAGTTTCTATCTAAAGAGCTTCTGTCCATGAAAACAAACGCCAAATAGAACTCGTTCGATCTCTGAAATGCCACAAGACTCCTTTTTGATACTGAGTGAGGAGGTTTCCACTGGCACCAGCTGAATCTTATTGTTATAAAAGTTTTATTTATTTATTTATTTGATTTTTATACTGCTCATCTATCTGACCAATGGTAACTCTGGGTGGTTCACAAACAATAACAAATAAAACTACCGATCAGAATACATTAATTAAACTCAGAAACAATCATTTAAAACAACATTAAAACTGTTGTTTAATTGTGTGTTGAGGAGAGAATTGGTGCCTGTGAAATGGATGGTTAACCCTTCCCTTCCTTCACCTGCTGCGATTCTGTCTCTGCCTCCCCTTCTAAAATTAAACATTTACAAACGTCATGGATCAATGGAAATTCTTGTGGGGGGGGAGGGAGTCCTAATAGGTGTGCGGGGAGGTTGGGCTGAGAATACTGTTGATGGGATAAGCAGGGCCTCGGAGCTCAGCTGCTGAGGCCATCTTTAAGGGCCCTGTGCCAGGCTCTCTCAGTGTGGGATGGCATAACCTCCACTGCAAGGAAGAGAGGTACTCTACTAAGAAGTCTGCTTTTCCTCTCTGACAGCTGGGAACACACACCATGTTGCCAGAGCAATGCCCCCCCTCACCGCCAACCAATCACTTTGGCAGCAGTGGGGCAAGTTCTTCACCCACTGTCTCCCTCAGGACAAGGCTTCAGTACCGTCCCAGATGCCTTCATGTATATTTTAAACAAATTCTGTGGGATGAATCCAAGATCTCCATTCTCCTAGAGGGAGGGCTGTTAGTGTTTCCCCTGGTATTTTGGAATATCCTCAAACATGTACTACTTTTCTCCCTATGCAGCAGCAGCAGCAGGGCCCCATGACTTAGGGGGCTGTAACGGCTGCCATAGGGAAGGAAGGGGCAAGAATTCCAGTTCTCCCAGTGCAATTGCATGGGCTTCGACCTGATGGTTCATCCTAGAGAGTTGAGGTGACACTTACCATGGTGCTGGGCCCAGGATCAGCATTGGCACCCCGGATCCGTGTAGTCTCAGGGCGGGAACTGGGCCGGGCACCGCTGCAAAAACAAAGGATGGCTTAATGAGAAAAAGAAGGAAGGCATAGGACAGAAACCCTCTCTGCAGCAAGCAACTAAAGCTCAATCCCTAGCCTCGGCTGAGGCTGTGACATCGGTGCTCCACAAACCCTATTACGGGCACCTGGTGCTCACCTGCTTTTCCTCCTCCGGCCACGTCGGGCTGGTCTTCTCCCTGGAGGGCCCTGCAAACAAAGAGGTTCGTGTGGTGAGGATCTCTCCCTTTATCAATTTTCAATGATGTTCCATCATCATTTCTTTTATTAATCTTTATTATTGGGTGCTTTTTTTTTGGTGAGCAAACAATGAAAAAAAATAGTAGTCCAGTGCCAATGGCCAAAAGGGTTTAGAATGTATTGCCACTTCATGCCAAGTAAGCTTCCAGAAGGCTCTTCTAGAACCAAATTCCTCTAAAGAAAGGAAATGAAAGCATGAGGTGAAATCCGTGGCTTTTTGTCCAGGATAAGAGGCAAAGGCTGGTAGGCAGGTAGAACAAGAGACAGGCAGAAGACAATGTGTTTTGGTAAGCCACTTACTGCTTGGCTTTTTACTGGGAATCTTGCAAAACATGGCAGGAAACAAAAACCTTGGTCTAATCCAACAAAAAAATTTCCTCTTTATTTGTACATCAGAGGCTCTATTTAGGATCACTTACAGTGGACCCTCAACTTACAGACAGCTCTACTTACAGACTTTTCGAGTTACAGTACAGACTTCTCTGGCCGCAAAATTTAGTATCACTTACAGTGGACCCTCTACTTACAGACTTTTCGAGTTACAGTACAGACTTCTCTGGCCGCAAAATTTAGTTTCAACTTGCAGCCGGAGAATTGACCTACAGACCAGGAAAAAAACCCCAAAATGGAACAAAAACGGCCCGTTAACGGATTAATCTGTTTTCAATGCATTGTAAATCAATGGAGCCTCAACCTACAGACTTTTTGACCTGCAGCCACCGTTCCAATACAAATTAATTCCGTAAGTCGAGGGTCCACTGTAGTGCTAACTGATACGTTTCAGTCCAGATGGAAAAGATCTATGAATGAGAAATTAAATAATTTGGGCCTCTCGAGAAGTGCTTTTTTGTTAATGGGCTATACAAAAGCAAATCAGGAACTACACCAGCACATCACAGACAATGAGCTGCAATACCATGTAGTAGTAAATGTAATACAGTATACTGTAGAGTGGTGGGCCCCAGTCATATTGGTTGAAGTAGCAACAGCCCCAAGAGACGATGCAAACCAAAACCAGCTCATGCAAAGGAAAAGATACTAAGCACGAGACAAGCAACCATTTCACTTAGAATCAACCACAATGCTCTCTCATAGCCATTATACCTGGGATGCTCAATGGTGTCCCATCAGATGTTTTTCTGGTCTGCAGTTGCCACCATCCCTTTCTGCTTGCTAGGGCTGAAAAGAGTTCTAAGCCCCAAAACATATGGAGGGCGACCCCTGTATCACATGTGGTTGCAAACCAGGTTTGAACAAGCACAAGGGGCTCAAACTAAGAGGCATCTCTCAGGCTGAAGGGCATAGAAATGCAACAACTGTATGTCAAAAGGCCTGACTAGCCCAATATTTGGTACCCAAGCAAGGCTGGTGAGGGAAGTTTTCAAGCAACACAAAACATGAGAGTCATCCCGTTTGTTGGCTGTATCCAGAAACTGCCTCCAAACACAGAATGGGGATTCACAGAGCATGCTTCCTCCAGTCATGAGGCTGGTCAACCAAGAACAAACCATGTGAGAGACAGGGTGGTGTGGTGGTTAAAAGGTTGGACTTGAGAGATGAAGGTTCCAGCCTCCACTGAACCATGAAGCTCACTTGGTAACCTTGAGCCCGACTCTGATTCTCTCTCTCTCTCTCTCTCTCTCTCTCTCAGCCTGTACTATTGCACATGCTCGCAATAGGCTGGGAGAATCAAGTGGAGAGGAAGAAGGCCAAAGTTTGAAAAAGTAGACATGGAAGAGAAGCAGGATATAAATGCAGTTAACAGCAAAGGCACAATGTGCCTTCCCAGCCACCTCCGACCCCTACCTCCTCATTCCAGCCCCTGACATACCTTTATTTCCTGAATAGCAAATGGACCCGCTTGGCTCTCTGCACTGCTGGCCACCATTTCTCCGTTGCAGCGCCAGGCAGGGAGGGGTGGGTGTCCTGCGCCCAACTCAGGCATCTGTCCATTGAAGTGCCGCCTGCCCCTGCCCNAGCTCTTCGGGGCCACGCCGGGGACGCTTGAGGGGGGAACGTGAGCTGCTGGCCTCCAGCTGTCCTTGCCGGGAGGGCTCCAGGGCTTGGGGCGGCTCTAAGGCACTTGGGGAGGCAGTGTCCGTACAAGGGGGCAACACGGCGCTCTGGCCTGGCTCCGTCTCCAGCACGGGGGGCACACTGGACAAGGCCGGGGCTGGGGCTTCGCTCGGTAGCACCAGCTTCTCTGGGGCACCGAAACCAGGGCTCAGCTGGCAAAGAGAAAAATAGGGTCCGAGGGAAAAGGGGGAGAGAAAGAGAAGATCCATCAGTTTACTGTAGCCCTTCCCAGAATTCAAAAGGCAGCTTCTCTAATCTTTAAATTCATCTCTAACAAACTGGTTAAAGCTGGGTTAAGAGATGCCTGGGGTTTCTGCACTGGGAGGAAGGTGTGGCATAAAGGACACGAGTCATCAGGCACTCTGCCTCCTCTCAGGGAATGAAAGGCCTGCCTCCTTCCTACCAGGCTCTTCATTCAGTTTCCAACTCAATTTGCCTCCAGATGCTCTTCAGGCTACTCCTTTTTTCCGTACGTTTGACAAAACGGGCTATTTTGATGTGTTAGACTATCAGGCCTATCATCTCCAGCCAATATGGCTGCCCTTCCACAAGGTCTTTAAAATGCCTCACACTTTCCCACTGCTGCCTAGGCCTTGGGTTGGGTTGGTCGTGGCCCATTGGGTTCTTGATAGTCTCCACACTGTTAGTGAATTAGGACTTTAAAGAAATAATTGGTGTTGGTATAATTGGTAAGGTATTCAGGCTATTATGGAATGCTCCCTAATATTCTAGGAACATGACACATAGCGATGCGTTTCTTCGCACTAAGCTTTCCTCTATAACGACAGTTTTCTCTGCTGAACAGAGGAAAGCAGCAGAGCAAAGCAACACGGAGAACAAATACGCAGCATGGCATTTGCTTTTGTAAGTGGGATGTTTGTGTTTGAACCCAGCAAGCCCAAGGGGTTTTTTCCTCAACTCCCTCCTTACTTGCAAGCTCTGGAGGAGGCAGGCCAGAGGGTTGGATCCTGCTAGCAGGGGCAGCTGCCCTTGGAAAAGTCCAAGGGGTCCTTGCAGGTTGGGCGGCAGAAGTGGCTGGTGGGCCTGGAGCAGAGGGCTGCCGATCAGGGAAGGGCCTGAGGCTGGGTTCAGCCCTGAGAGATCACCTGCAGGTGGGGAAGAGAAAGGCCAGGATGTTAGCGCCGCTGCTCATGCACAACCACCACCGGCGCCTGTCCCAAGGCAGCTCCCCCAAAAGGACAGTAACAACAGCCCTTTACGTGGATCCGTTCTGTAACCTGAAAGCCAAATGTGATGATTTTCATACAAAATAGTCAAATAACTCTAGTTGGAATTATATAGGCAACTAAAAGACACAAGGTCTTTAATGTAATGATATGTTAGTACAGATCATATGTGATAATGTATAGCATGATATATTCCCTGTTATCCCGATTTATTTTCCTTTACCCTTAAAATAAAAAAAATGTAAGAAACAAACAAAGAGCCATTTAGGTAGGGGCTCCCTTTCACACATTGCTCTGGAACAAAGGTGGGACGCCTCCAGACCACAAAGAATTCAAGTGTGTACAGCTGTACGCAAGTGACGTAGACACTGCCACCCAGCAAAAAGCACTGAGGAAGGAACTCCACATTGGCTCATAGTGAAGCCTTCATATGGACTGGTGCCTTGAGGATCCATTGACTATAATGAGGCAGGGCTTTTTAAAATCCTGTAAATTTGCATGACGTATACACTTTCGCTCCTCCCTAACAGGCTCTCCCCTACATACCTGATGTTGCAGGAATTGGGACCAAAAGGGAGCCAAAAAAATAAATAAAATAAAACCAAACCAAACAAAACAGGAATGCTATGCAATTGCCTTGCACATGTAGTTATTTATCAAATGGATTTTAGTCATATCTTTAAATCCCAAGGAGGAAAAGAACTGAACAGAACCCCATGTGCATTGCTACTGTGTGTTTCCCTGCTTTCTAATCAAGTTTGATGGGAGAATCTGGACTTTCTTGAATGAACTTTTACTGTCATTTGATTCCTTCCTGTCAGTTTCCTGTCGTTTTGGGAATCATCTTTGGATACATTACAACTTGCTACTCAGATATAAATCAAGATGGTGCAGCAGAGGGGAGGATTCCTTCCTGTTTGGAGTCCCTAATATTTAACCTGCTTGGCAAGACCAATAGCAACAAATACTCAAGATCGGACAGTGGCTTTCTGTTGCAAGCGGACCATCCCAAGCAACCATTTGGCCCACACCGTAGGGAATCAGAGATGCCAAGAGGATGCCCTGCTTCTTCCTCGGTCTCTCCATCCTCCCAGGAGCTGGCTCTAAGGAAGAAGGAATGAGACTTACCCAGAAGTGTGGTGCTCAGCAGTGGGTTGACAAGCTGGGGCATCAGGGGGTTCAGCCGCCCAGAGACGGTTGGGGTGCCCTCAGTAGTTGTTGATGTTGTGCTAGTGGAGGTAGGTGCCAGCGGAGTGCTAGCCAGGCCAGTCTGAGGCAGAAGAAGAAGAAAAGGGAGGAATGGGTGGGAGCCACAAGGCCGGTCGATGACTGTAGGAAGAACAACCCACATCTCTTACTGGGGCGCACATCTTTCTGTCTTGAAAGGAAGCATTTGTTTCTCATTGCAATATGCAAGATGAGAATATCCAACCCATCAAATATTCTCCTGTCCCCTAAAAAGAAGATTCCCAGCATGTCACTGTAACACACCAGTTTGACCAAGAAACAACCAGGACAGAGGGTGTAAATTGGCAGTTTTGGATAAGACAGAACCCTCTCTCCATTCTTTGAGTCCAGATGAAGATAAAAAAAATTTAATACATCACTAGTGCCTTAGGTTTATTATCTAGATGGCTGGCAGATACATCATGATAGAGAATAGGAAAATGAAGCAACCAGATTCCCTCTCTTGCTGGCAACCCCCCTCCCCGACCCTGAGCCCAGCTCAGCATAGTCCCTATTGAGGAGCTGACCACAGGAATGACTGCAGTCCCTTGATCCTACAGGAGCGGGGCTACCATGACCAAGGTACTCCAAAAGGCTTATCCTGAAATATAGACTCTTTACATTAAAAGGGGCGGAGGGCAGGGAGAAGCTACGGCATGCCAAAGTGGCACATATTCTCCTTCTCTGACCCAAGTCAGCCTGTTCTCATGTTGTTAAGCCAAGCTATTCATAGAATTAAAGAGAAACTATGCCACTCCTGGAACTGACATACCTATTCCCCTCCTGAAGACCTTGTTCTTGCCTTGCCATCCTGAATTCCCCAGGGTTTTGGAATTGGCAAATTTCCTACTGTCCTGTTCCTTCTGAGCATAGCTGCACTTCTTACCCTAAGGGGAGGAACAATGTCCCATCTAGAGTAAAGTATGCCCGGCTGTGATGTATAGGATTTAAAGGTAGCTTGGTCTTGAATGGACCAAGGATCAATGGATCTATAGTATAGAATGGATCTATACTATAGATCATGGGTGAACAACTCTTGGCCTTCAGTGGTCCAAAGGCAAACCCTCAGCAACCTATTTTTGCTTCAAGAAAAAAAGGGGGGTGCCATCTTTTGAGGGGCTCCAGTATCTCACAACCATAAAAGAAACAACATGTGAATTTTTTGGCCACTTGAAGGCACAAAGAGCTTCGGGGGGGGTTTCCACTCCCCAATTCTTCTAAGAAAAAATGGGTTGCAAGAGGTGTATCCAGGGATGCATAGTTGCATGGGAATTCAGGGAATTATCCTCCAGACGTGGAAATCTTTACATCTTTCGTGGTTATTTTGGGACTAGGAGCGGGGAGCTGCTGGTTCAAATCCTCTTTCAGCCAAAAGGTTCTTTGAGTGGCCCTGGGAGAGTCACTTGCCCGCAGCCTAAGCTATCTTGCGGGGCTATTATGCACATGAAAATGAGAAGGCTCACAGACACCTGTTTTAAATTCCAGAGGAAAGGCGGAATATAAATGTAACTAAGGAATACATCCACCGTTTCAAGACTGACTGTCTCCCCCCAACCAGAAGCTGCTCCTCTCCCTTGCCCACATAACGTCAACATGTGTGTGTGTGTGTGTGGAGGTACACGTGCCACTTCCACCTTCCTTGTAGTTTTTGGAAAGGCAGAGATGCCCCAGCTAAACCTGTGTCCTTACCTGCGCGGGGCCTGGCCCAGGGTCAGAAGGGCCCAGGCTGGTTGCCAAGAGTGCTGAGTTTAAAGCTAGGACAGCTGGAGGGGTGGAAAGTGCTGGAAAGAGCAGGGGCTGCAAAGCTTCAGGGAGGCCAGCGAAAGGCTCCAGCAGGGGCTCGGTGGTGGTGGCAGCTTCCCTCTCCCCTTCGCACGTCGTCGCCTCCGGCAGCGCCAGCAGCGAGGCCAGCAGTCCACTGGGTTGTTGTAGCAAATCCAGATGGGGCAGGACCAGAGGCAGCAAGGGCTGTCCTTCTGGCTCCCCCTGCAGGTTGAGTGGGGGAAGTGGTGTCTCCGGGCCCAGGGTCAGCGAGAAGGGGAAGGAGCCCAGTGGGAGGAGACCGGGAGGTAGAGCATTCCCAAACGGCAGCACCTGTTCCTGTGCCAGGAAGGGAAATGGATCAGGGCCTGAGGAGAGCGGGCAGGGCAGGCCCCCGCCTTCCATGGCGCCGGTCGTAGTGACAGCTACAGGGCTGGGGGCCGGAGGGGCTTTGGGAGTCATCGGGGAAGCAGAAGCAGCACCTGAAAGAAAAGGAAACAGAAAGTGAGCCCTGCCACAGGAACATGGACCCAGAGTGTACGGCTTTACCTTTTGCACATCTGCCCTTCTAGGGGCCTAGCGGGCACCATTTGCAACCTGATTCCCATCCATATATACCTAGAGACGGGTTGCGTTGGGTATAGAGGGATTTGTTCCATTATATATAAATCAGTAAATTAAACAAACAAACTAAATAAATAGGTACATGAAACTACAGCCTTAAGCTCCAGAGCCATCTTGCCATTATTTTTTTGTAGCATGGCTCCTATAACCATCTTAGTAATGATGTCTCAGGGCTAGCCCTTCAATCTGCTGCCCAGCGGCTTCTCTTCCGACCCTGCAGAGCAGCTGTGAAGGAACCATTCTCCAACCACGATTTTTAGCCAGACTCCCCTTTAGGGATTTCAGGCTTTTAAGCCAGCAACTGGATCTACTCTAACTAAGGTCCCACTCAGGCCCAAAAAGGAAAACTGCCCTCCCTCATATCCACATATTAGCACCTAAGATGTGAAGTCATGAAATACTTCCTGTGTCATTCTGGTCTAACAGCCAGGTGTCTTTCTTAATGTGATGAAATAGGATGGATTCCACATGATGCTAAACTAGCTCTTCCTCCCTCCAACAACCCAAGTCTCTCCCAGTAATTTTGGACTACAACTCCCATTTCCCCCAGCAATTCTGATGAAAAGTGCCTCCTCTATGTACGACTATGCACAGGAAAGGAACCATGTCTGCCATTTAGATTTAAAAATGATTTAGAGAACTTGCTTTGACACAATTAGTGGCACACGTCCTTTAGTCCAGAAAATGAGGCAGCCGCGAAGACAGCGGATAGGTACAGAGTACAGTACTAAGGCAAGCAGAAGCAACAACTCAGGCACTAAGGGATGGGGTGGGGTGGGAGAAACTGTACCAAGATTTTAACATTACCAAAATAATGACATGGCAACAAACGCATCCTGAAGGGACTTTGGCTTGTACACCAAAACCTTATTTTCTGCCACAGATCATTACTGAACTTATTCATGTACTGTGATCGTTGCACATTATGTTGCATAAAGTTAAGCCAGGTTCCTGCCCCAAGCAGCCTGCACTCTGAATTTCAACTTAAGGGAAACAGCAGAATTCTAGGTGTGTGGATACTTCTGAGTATCTTTACAGGTTCCTCCTTGCCCCCTTTGGTCATCATTTCATATTACCTCACAACTGCTTCCTCTTAAGGGAAAGAGCAGAATTCTAGGTGTGTGGGAGCAGGCTTCTGAGTATCTTTACAGGTTCCTCCCTGCCCCCTTTGGTTATCATTTCATATTACCTCACAACTGCTTCCCTAAAGCAGGAGGGCAATTAAGGAAGCAAGCATTTTTTAAAACTCAACTATATTTCTTTCCAGTATGCTCTTTAGCAGATGGCAACAATGCCCAATGGCTCATGATTAAGGGAGGGGAAGGATATACAAGACCAGATCAACCTGTGGCAGATACCGTAATTCCTGTTTATACCCACCTTCCTCAATCAGGTGCTGTCCAAATTTTTTGGGAGTACAACTTCAAGCGTGACCCTGGCCAACAGTCCTGTTGGCTGGAGTTGATAGGGATTGAAGCCTAAAATACTTCAGGAAGGGCCTATGCTGATCTAGAACAGTGATTCCCAACCTTGGGTGGCCAAGCATTTTTTGAACTGCACCTCCCAGAAGCCTTCACCACTAGCTATGCTAGCAAGGGCTTCTGGGAGTTGCAGTTCATCTGAGGACCCAAGGATAGGAACCACAGACCTAGAAGACTGGCTTCCTGACCTCCCAGTCACCAGAGGCAGCAAGTGAGATAAGGCAAGCACAGGGAGCTGTCAAAGCCTTGGATGCAGAGCCCACTGAATGGAGGGAGCACACAACTAGCAACTCACTGCCTCTGCACCAGATCTCAGGGAAGTTATTATTATTATTATTATTTTGGACAGCCTTCCCAATCTTCCTGTAGCTTGTCCCACCTCGGTTTTTCTTTTACAAAAGACTAGCAGAGAAGACTGCACTGCCTAGAAGACAATTCTCACTCAGCTGCCTCTTTGAGGCCTATGAAAAGATCTTTCCTTTCGAGGAGCCTTGTGGCACAGGGGTTACACTGCAGTACTGCAGTCTAGACTCTGCTCATGACCTGAGTTTTATCCCAAAAGGCTCAGGTCGCTGGTTCAAGGTTGACTCAGCCTTCCATCCTTCCGAGGCTGGCAAATTGAGTACCCAGCAGATAGGGCAATGTGTAGCTTGCGTAATTCTATTGTAAACTGCCCAGAGAGTGCATTAAGTGTTTGTGGGGCAGTATATAAGCAGCACACCTTGCTTTACTTTGTAATGGACATTTCCCCACAGACACAGAGACGACCATACCTGGTGGGCCATGGGATCCGAGCGGAGAGGCAGGAGGTTTTGGCTGCGGAGGACTCCCTGAGATCTGTTCGGAAGACGCTGAGGCCAGCTGCCCAAAGAGACTGAGAAGCTGGCTGTTGAAGTCCTGAAAGGAGGGCAATGTGTTGGAGCTGTCGCTGGCAGGGGACTGGGCAAGTGGGGGGAGGCCAGGCGTCGGGGAGCTTGCAGGAGGAGCCAGCAGGCTGAGCAGGGACGACAGGGGCTGTACCGGAGCTGCTGAGCTTGGGGGCCCATTCTTGGCCTCTCTTATCACCGGCTGGTCCCGAGCCCGGGAGTGTCGGGTCAGCGTCTCCTCAGGATGGCTGGGCCCAGGCTGCCCCGCATGAGAGTCCTTCAGCAGGCGCAGGACAGTGGGGGAGCGGCGCTGGCGCCGAGGCGCCCGTCCGCCAACGACAGACAGCAGCAAGCGGCTGGGTAAAGTGCTGGCAGCCAGCTCATCGGGACGCCCCCTGCTGGCCAACTGGGCCTTGGCCGCTGCACTCAACAAACTGCTGGCTGGGAAAGAGCCTGGGCCCTGGGGGTGAAGGAGCAGCAGGCCAGGCGGTCCTTTGCCTTCTGGGGCAACTCCTAAGGGCACTGAGGACAAGTTATGGCTGCTTTGGTTGGTTAAGGCATTGGCCAGGGGTGCCGCATCCGAGGGCTTCGGAGTGGGGCGGTGTCCAGAGAGGCCCTGCTCAGAGGAAGCCGAGGAGTGCCGAGAGCGCTGCGGGGAGGGCTCTGTGCTGCCCACCGGCGATGAGACGGAGGAGAGGCTGGTGGGCGCTGGTGAACCCGCAACACTCGTCTGGGAACCAAGGGTCACAGGGCGGCTGTTCCAGGGGCCGCCCTCTTGGCCAGGCACCACCACCTCTTCTGGTGGGGGGAAAAGAAGACTGCTAGAAGGGTAGGGCCGGGGCAGTCCCTCTGGGAGAGACTCGCCAGGCAAGAAGGAACCCCCAGGGGCATTCAGTTCAGCTGGGTAAGGAGGTGGGCGGGTGTTGCCGTTGGTGGTGGCCGTAGGCAGGCGGCCTGGGAAGACGTCCCCAAAGAGAGCACTGTGATGGTGGGGAAAGGAGGAGCTCTGGCTGGACCAGGCGTTGCCATAGCGATCCGAGGGGCACTGCAAGTAGAGTTCTGGGCCCTTCGCCAAGGTCGCCGAGGCCTTGCTGGGAAGAGTCGGCTGTGGACGACTGCTGGGTCCTGCCATGGTTGGGTGAGACGGCGGGGTCAGCCCAGCCCCTTGAAAGAAACACAGACCCACATGACTCCCCAAGCAGACGGACAAATGATAGAGACTTCTGGTCAGCAGTAGGGAAACTGTGGCCCTTTCTAGAGGGAGGAACGATATTCCTCCCACTCTTTCTCACCACTGGCCAAGCAGGTAGAGCCCAATGGGAATCCGAGTTCAACCACCTCTGGAAGGCCCCCGTTCTCCTAGCCCTGCTCCAACACAAGAGAAATGACTGGTTCATAATAAGGGGCAGAAGGTAAGATGCAGAACAGGTACAAAAATTGTTTGAGATCCAGCTGATTTCCAGTATCTTTGGAACACCTGAGTTTTTCCTGATGGGTGACTGTTTCAAAATTAAATGGGTATTTTCTGATTTTTTTATATCTGAAGCTTCCCCTCCACCAAAGCTCTGAGATGCCCCAACCTTTCAGCTGAGGATTTAACTTATATAGCATGCAAGGACACCTTCTTAGCACCTTTCTGAGGGAGAATGCCTTTGTGTCTCTGTATGAGTTACTGATCTAGGTGAGCCTTCTGCTTCAAAGGGATGAAAGCTCGAAACAGTTCATCTCAGGGGGACACAGCAGCCTGCCTGCCTGCCTGCCTGGTTAAGTTCAGACAAACCCTGGTAGGTTGTATTAAGTCCCCAGGGCTACAAAAGAGAACACCAAGGGGAAAGATGGAAAGGATGCTGTTTTGTGCCAAGTGGCATGCTAGACCTTAAGAGAAGTGTGGCCATTCCTTCCTGCTTGGCTCCTAGCATCAATGGGAGCAGCTTCAGTTCATCAGCAAAACAAAAACAGTAAACCAGCTAACGCTGCAATCCTCACCTGGCTGGACATTCTCAAACCTGGTCAGGACACAGCACTCAGTTCTTGGTTTCTGAAGTCATTTCTACTGTTGGAAGGAAACAAGCAGGAGGAACCGGAACCTTCTATACCAACCAGAGATTTTTAAAGCTATCTTGGGGGGGGAGGGGATTACAGCTCCCCGAAGACCTCACAGCTACATGATATTTCCCAGGAGTTGTAATCCGAAAGAGTAATGTTTTCCTGTATCTTGCTGCCTGTTTGTTCTTAAACAAGAAGGCAATCATCCTATGACATGTCAGCTTATCTCCGGATGGATGGCAGAGTTACCTGGCCCCAGATGTGGCAGGCTCAGTGGTCCATGACTCTCCATGCTGCGGTAGAGCGTGGCCATGGCCACAATTTTCCGCCGGTGGTTGCACAGCTTGGTCATGTCCTCATCCCCTTTGGTGCCTTCGCTCCCAATCACCATGGCTGCTGGGTCAAAGTTGAAAACCTAACCATCATGGGAAAAAAGAGAAAGACTTGATGCCTTGCCTTCTCAAACCAGGATACTTGGGGTGAGGAGAGAGACTATGGTGGGATTCAGCGCATTTTACTCAAGTGGAAGGCCCACTGATTTTAATGGGATTGATTTCCAAGGAAATGTGCACAAGGCCATTACTCTCTAAGCTAAGGCATAAACCTTCCCTTGAGGCTTCCTGGAATGCTGATGTCTTCTGAACAACCTTGTCCCATCTCAATGGTTTGGGATGAGCAAAAGAGGAATAAATAAATAAATACTCCAAATTGAATAAGATTGTATCTAAATCAGGGAAGAGCACAGTGCGTTCTTCCAGATCCCATCAGGCTACTAGTCCCATCAGCCTTAGCTGATACTGAGGGATCATGGGAACTATTCCAACAGCACTCTGAAGCATGTACTTTGCCCATCCCTGATATAAATCATTTACACTTCCCCACACTTTTATCCACTGAACACAAGAGAAAATAGCATTTCTAAAAAGGGGCTTTAGTAGGAGAGATAATGGCTACCTACCTAGCATCTAGGACAGTGGTTCTCCCCCTTTGGTCCTCAGATGTTCTTGGACTCAAACTCACAGAAGCCTTCACCATCAGCTGTACTCATGAGGATTTCTGGGAGTTGTAGGCCAAGAACATCTGGGGACCCAAGGTTGGAAAGCACTCATCTAGGGGACCTTGGGAACAACCCGCAAAAGCTCATCCTCTGATTCACGCCAAGTCAAGAGGTTTTCAAGCTGTAGTGTACATAATGGTTCCTCAGTGAGAAAATGAGCTCTCCCAAGAGGCAAGACTAAGTTCCCCCTGTAGGGAAATGATGTGTATTGTTTGGGGAGGCGTTACATTTGGCCCTCCAGATCTTTTGGGCATCAATTCCCCCTCAACGTAAAGAACTATGGGAGCTGAAGTCCAAAATATCATCTGAAGGGCCAAAGATTCCACCCCACCCCCACCCCGTGCTTTTCTAGGATGCACTCTCAGGTCATGCAGAGTGAGACTCTGCCCTGCCCAGATAGCACTCCAGGTGAAATGGATATACACAATGGAACCTCTCTTCTTTCTCCCATAATCCTTTGTAAAGAGGTGGGCTCGGGGGGGGGCAGTTCTTTGTCAGGCAGCTAATTCAAAATGAGGTGTTCTGAAGATAGAGAACCTGGAAGCCACTATCCTGCGGAAACGGGGGATTGTACTGATGGCAGGAAGAAGTGCTGAATGCCAATGCCAGCTTCTGCTGCTGCTGCAGTTGCTATCAAATTACAAGCTCTGACCCCAGTCAAGACAAACATGACAGACAGACAGACAGACAGACAGACAGACACACACACACACACACACACACACAGAGTGTTCCTTTCCAAAATAGCTACTAGTGGCCGGAGTGGGAAAACGAGTTCCTGTTCATGGATCTAACATGCTGTTGCCCAAATTAAAGGGCAGAATTTGGCAGAACTATAGGGAGCCCTGTCTTTTTCTAGCCCCAAAGATCACATAGGCTGGCCCCACTCCTTCCAGATGATTCCAGGTCCACCATTTTTCTCTATGGCCCAAAAAAATAAAATAATTCCCACATTATATGTACTCTTTACATGACAAATCATACAACCTTGAGAGACCATACAAATATGTTCTTTTATTCTGGTTTTGTTAGTCATTGTGGGGAAAGGCGAGGAGTTATACCAAGCACTAAAGCCCTACATTCAGATCACTAGAAAAGGTTACTCGCAAACCCCTAGCTTCCACCTTCTCTTTGCAGCCACAAAGTCTAGAAACCTGCTGTGCAGTAAAGAAAGGCTGAAATACCCAGGACACAGGCTGCACAATCCAGTAGCCATAGCTAGGTATTTTTCAACTTTCTAAGGAAAAGATGGATCCACCTAGGCCTGCCCACACCTTAAGCATCCCAGTCACATGTTTATCTAGTTCGTTCTTGAAAATCTTTTCAGTAAGAGGTTTCATAACTAGTCTCCCTCTCTGCTGGACAGTTTATATGAAAAAGGACACACGTTTCAACGTCTAACCTTCCACCTCCATTCTCATTAATAGAGCTAAAATGTCAAAGGGTTAGATTTTAAAAACAACAAGAAATATTTAGGATGTCATCTGCTGTCACTTTTGAGCTTCCCTATCTTCATAGTGTTTGTGCGTGAGAAATGGATTGGATTTTTCCAGCAACACTGACTGGACTTTAAAGCTATCGCAGTTATAATGTAAAATATTCTGGGATAAGTGGTCTTGAATGGACAATTAAGACCCATTTGTTTTGCCAAAGAGCTGCTCCTGGGGGAATTAAAAAAAAACTTCTAAACTGGTTTGTTGATAAGGATCCATGCTTGCGTTTTGGGACACCCCTTAGGGATGTGACTATGGGGACGCTCATACTTGACGCTAGCACTTCAAAATTTACCACTGCACCACAGATCCCTACAGCTGGCAACCCCTTGATTATTTAAAGAGGACTTGGGATAGTAGACCAGAATCCCATGTGTTATCCAGGCATGCAAAAAGTCACTTTTTTAAAAGTTACTGCTCTGAACCCCCCCCCCCAAGGGATTACCTTTCTGGGAGTCAAAAACGTTTATCTTCTGCAAATCCTTTGGTAGAAAGATAGCACAGTGAGAATGTTGAAAAGGGCTGGGTGGTGGGGAGAGACGGTTAAAATCTCAGGGACCCCTACAAAGACCTGCTTTAGCCACTCTCTAGAATGGGGTCTGCTGGTGATGGGGGAGAGGAAGAGTCCTGAATCAGTGGCAGAGCACATGTTTGGCACGCGCAGGGTCTCAGGATCAATCCCCAGGACCTCTAAGGAGGAAGGGAAAAGAATCCTTCCTAAAAACTTGGTGAGCTGCTGAGGGTCCCAGCAGATAGAATGGAGCAAGCTGGAACAACCTGGTTTGACCAAGTACGAGACATGTTTCCTGTATTTTTACTAGCTATCTTTATTTACTTCCCGGTATAGAAATTTTTGCTACTTGTTTGAAATGCTCTAGCTTCACATCCAAGGTCAATACTGAACCAGAAGCGGGCTCTTTCTCAAGAAACGTACCTTGTGTACGTTGAGGGGACACTCCAGGCCACACTTGCAAGTGCCGTCCGCCAGCAGGTACGCGCGAGTCTGCTCCAAGGAAGCCAAGCTTGTGCCACTAGGACTAAGAAAAAGAAAAGGAAGGGACATGAGGAGGTCAAGAACCCAGGAAGGAGACGGCTCTCCTTCACAACAGGGGACATGGCTTACCTGATATAGCGCACTTCACCCTCCTCCACCCTGCGCTGCCAGCCCACAGGCACAGGTGTAACCGCCGGGCGCCCACCTCGATCCACATCAGAGCAATCATCGCCGCCATTCATTGTGCTCCCTCAGTGCTTGGGCACCTGAAAGAACCAAGGGTCTCTGAGGTGGCAAATACACAACAGCACACCTGGAGAAGAATGGCTGGGTAGGTGGAATATCAATGACAGAGGAGGGGCAGAGAAAGAAGGGCCATAAATGATGTGGCCTAGTTGGAGCAGCCCAACTGGAGAGGCCTGCCAGAATTGTGGAGCATGCAAGACCTTAGGTCTTCAACTCCAGACACAAACTGGACAGATGACAGGGTTTCACGGTCAGCTCTCCTCAGAAGTGGGGCACCTGAGCTTGTGCTCCTGCCTCAGAGTCCCATAAGCCTCAGGTGGGCACCCTGGGGAAACAAAACAGCTAGACGCTGCGTCTTTGCTGGCCTGGAATGGCAAGATCAGATCCAGGAGAGTGAAAGGCTCTGTGTCATTAGTGAGGGCTATTATTAGCCGAGCTAGAAGGAGAGTGGCTTAGAGCCAGGCTACACAACTGGCAGAATCACAGGACAATCCTTTTGGGTTTATACAACTTCAGAATACAGGGGCAAGGGGTCTTTTGTTTAGACATGGGCATGTACTTACTATATGTATATATTTTTTCAAACAAGGGAGTATTTTAAAAAACAAGAAACAACATGGCACTTCCCCCTCTATTCTCTATAATCTGAAATGGTACAGTCCCATAACGACTCTGCCATTTAGTTGTGTTTATCTTATGTTGAAGACAGGGAAAAGAAGCAGTTTGTAGGCTTGGATCTTTAAACAGTGACAGAACAGTGGGCCATGAGCAGGCCAGGCATGGAGGGTGGAGACGAAAGAAGAGAAATAAACCAACGGGGTGGCACAACAAAGACAGAGGTTATCAGCTGAGGTATGGGTAACAGCAGGGAATCTGAAGTGAATCAAAGAGACAGACGGACAGACTTT